TGTTCAATCCCTGGTACCACAAAAAAAAAAAAAAAAAAAAAAAAAAGGGACTATGGCTGAGCCATAAAATCAGTGAATCACATCACTTATAGCAACATGTATGGAAAGGGAGGTCATTATGTTAAGTGAAATAAGCCACAGAGAAATACCACATTTTCTTACTCATCTTAGGAAACAAAAAGTCAATTTCATAGAAGAACAGAGTGGAATAGTTGTCACTAGAGAGACAAAGAGGGAGAAAAGAAATTAAGGAACAAAAACATAGAAGGAATTAGCTGTAGTTTACTATGGTAGTGTAAAGTAATTTTTAATAACACAAATCTATGATGTATTCAAAATAACAAATAGTATAAAAGTTTCAAAACTATAAAATCGACTATGTTTGAGGAGAAGGAAGTGTTTATACTATTCTGACTTGATCACAATACACTGCATAATGTACTGAATAATCACACTGTGCCTTGTAAAGACACTTATCTCTCAATGAAGGATAAGGATAAGCAGAAAAATTACTAAAAACATGGCTCCTGCTTTTTATGAAGCTATCGACCAAGGAATGTTCTGTCATTTTTTTATTTACTTATTGGTTCTTCACAGATGTTAACTGCATGGATTCTTTTTGAAAGAGTATGAAATCATTACAGAAAAGAGATATTCATAAAAATGTTGAACATAAGTTCCAGGTGGCATAATAATTGTGAAATTAATTAAGGTCAGCATCTTGATTGTGTTCTCAGATCTGAATAGCCATACAACGCAGTTCCTATCAGTAGTGTATGGAATGCTGTGGGAGCTGGTTTTTCAAAATTATTTGAAAATAAATAGAGAACTAAGGTGACTATGCCATAAGATGACGATCATACCGAGAACACTCTGCCACTCTAAAAGGCATTATAGATATAGAAGTTAATTTTACCCAATCTATAAAAAAGCATTCCAAAAACGGCAGTAGAAAGTACATATTGCTTAAGATATGTGGAAAGTTTCTTTACTATCATATAAACAATTTTTCAAGCATTAAAAAAAACTGCACTCAAGTGAAATAGGTTAGACCAAAGATTTTCAGGATAAAAGGGGAGAAACTTGACTTTCAAAACTGGTTCCTTATATTGGAGTTTATATAAATATACTGAAATGGATAGTTATATTACCTACTGTAATTCACAGCTATGAAGTGGGACAATATGCATATGGTTTTCAGAAATGAAAATAAAGTACCGGTGGAATACAAGAACTGAGACGCATCAGCAGTACTAACACAGTTTATGTCCCGGACACAGGAGTCATGATTCCTGGGCTTTGTAAGCTCCCGCTGCACTTCCTGTGACTGGCCAGGCAAGAGGCGCTCTGGGACGCTAACTTCCTTTCTTTACAGAGGGAGTAAAATTTATTAGCAGTGTTAGTGGGAAAGCTGAATGGTAGAACATAAAATAGAAAGAAAAATTAATTACATACTCTGTCTTCTAAGCAGAGAATATATATAAAAACCTTTAAGGGTGTTTGATATACGAGCCTGCTCAACAAATTTTAACAATAATAATTAGTACTAAATTTCCCATCAATATGCATTTAATAGGATCTCTCCACTGCCTGACATAATGTAACTGAAATGGAATCAAATTCATAATAGCACATGTCCTTGTGTATATAGACACAACAATGTTTTAGAACTGGTCACCGTATCATAATCTGAAACTATAACTCTTCTTCACATAGTTCTTGATAATATCCTAATATTCATTGAATCAACCAAGAAATAAACTTCATTCTAAAGAACTGAGTATAAAAACAGTAAGAAGAGGGGCTGGGGAGATGGCTCAGTAGAATAAGTGCTTCCCTGGCAAGTGCAAGAGCCTGAGTTCAATCCCTGGTTCTGCCAAAACAAACAAACAAACAAACAAACAAACAAACAAAAAACCACACACACACAGTAAGAAGTTATATTTAAAAAGTTCTATTAAGTTCAATACCTTGTTACATTTTCAAGCCTATTTATGGCATGCACACAGTGGAATGCCCACATTGGAAGTGCCTATTCTGATGGGTTTGTACGCTTGCACATCCCTTGAAACCCCACCCCAATCTCTCGTCTACCCTCCTCCTGTGCAGAATCAACTACTGTCCTGACAGTTTTCATCATACATTACTTTTCAATGTCCCATATTCATATGCAGCATAATAATTGTGAAATTACAGTCAGCACCTTGACTGTGTACCATTTGTATGTACATAATAGCTGCGATCACTGCAGGTGATCGTACAGAACACGAAACTTTTCACTTCTCATTTCTCCTGCCCTCAACCCTCACTCTGCCCTCCGACTCTTGACCCCTTCTTGTCTGCAAGACATTTACTTGAGGTCTATATCTTCAGTTCTTTAGGTATTCTATGAATTAATCCTCTCACCAAGGGCCTTTCTGAACAAAACCCTAATGGCACAAAAGTAATACTGAGAATCAACAAATGAGATTATATTAAAATGGAAAGCTTCTGCACAGCAAAAGAAAAAAAGGAACAAGCATGAAGAGAAAACCTACAGAATAAGAAAATTTTTGGCATAATGTGTTGGATACTAGGAATTCACAGAAAGGAAATCAGATCACGCACTTCATTTTGCATCTGGCTAATTTTTCTCAACATGGTGCTCTATTTATTTGACAGTAAACCTTCTGGATTACACCGCTCGTATCTGGAGCACTCAGAACCCAAATCAATGCCATCCTTATTCAAGCTGCTGGGGTTTCCTACCCCTCCTACTCAGACTCATTTCCTACAAGCAGGTCACTGCCCCACTAACTTTCAGATGTGATGGACAGCTTTAGCTCAATGTGTGGATAATAATCCCCCTTCTGGAGAAAAAAGTGAGAGACATAAAACTGTATTTTCTGTATTTCCCTGTTGTAGGCCTGAATATGTTCTTGGTTTTACTAAAGAAAAACTTCTTAGTTGAAACTAAGTCACATAGTGAGACAGCTAAACCACAGGGCTTATATATGACTGCTATACACTGTGCCAGTACTCTGACCTTCTGGATCCCAAGAAGGTAGCACACCTTCTGGACTGCCGCTGGACACGGTCCCACCAGCGTGAACCAAGGATGGTCCTGTCTCATGAGGCAGCATGGGGCAGATCTGTGGGGCGGTATGAGCTGGGCCGCGGGAGGGTCATGCGTGTAAGGTCTCATCGTGAGTCAAGGAAGTGATCCTGTGGTGGCCTAACTCATCAGAGTACAGCCTGGAGTCTTTATACCACTTCCAACAGTTTTATAGCTATTCATGAATCTTTTACTATGAGCACATGTCCTGGACAAAAACTAGTTGCTATTGATGTACCACTGTTGCCACTATTTTTGCTATTATATTAAAGTGCCTAGTAATCAGAATACCTGGTTGAGTTGTGAATTTAGCACATATTCTTCCTGCAATCTTTGTCAAGTTGTCTATCCTAGGGATTTCTTTCTCTATGAATACTTCCTAGGCAGGAAGTATAAATACTCGGTGCTGCTATTGTGAAAGCCAAATCAGAACACCTTATTAGCCAACATTTTCTATTATGTACTTCTTTATTCTCCAGACAGATGATTCAGTTAAAATTTTTTCCCCATTGCTTCATTTTGTCAAATGGAAATACCATGTCTTCTTCCTTCAGAGCCCTGCACACCTCTTGTTGTGACGCCCAGTGCCTCCGCATCCTGTTATCCTCGCCTTCAATTCAAACCCTCTTCCTCTTTGGAGGAAGTTCAGCCTGCCACAATCACTTTATTGACCCTGGAATTCCAACAAATAGCACCGTACATTTCCTTCAACATTTTGCTCTTTTTCAGTTATTCAGAGCAACTTACTTACCTCTCCTTAAGAGCTGTGACTCTATCGTATCTCGAAAGAAACATTAGCAATTACTAATCATCTGGACAACTGCTGACCAGATGACATACTGTGTCATACAATGAATTCAATTATGGAAATTGTAAGCTACATCATTAAACATACAGCCTTTGATAGAAGTACATGGATAAAAGCTATTTAAAATCATAGGCTTGCATATTTTCATTTTCTTTGCCAAAATATTCCTACCCTTTTCTGATTTTTTCAATCATGTCTTTTAATTCTACCACACATATTGCAGGAATGAATGTGCTGACAAAATAAAACCAGTGTCACTGTCAAAGAATAGGAATTTTTTTTTAAGATTTTTTTTTTTTTTTTTTTTTTTTTTTTTTTTTTTTTTTTTGTGCAGGGTCTCACTGTGCAACTCAGACTCATAGTGATCCTGATTTCTGCCTCCTTAGTGCTGGGATTACAGGCATGCACCACCACTCCCAGACTCCAACGCCTGTTCAGTGCACCTGGGGGTGGGGCTGGCATGGCATGTGGTGCCAGGGATCAAATCCTGGCCCCTGTGCCTACCTAAGTAAGCGCTTAGCCCAATGAGCTATACCACTGGCCTGGGAATTATGTATATTCCTTGTATATTTTTTCATAATTTGTGTAGAATATATGTGCATATAAAAGGGCTGCTTTATTACCTAGAAGCATGAGAATCACTCGGAGAGATTTAACAATACTGCTGTTCCATCCCAGTGACCAGTACTTAACTTGATTAGTCTATCACTTGGCAGCAGGATATCGAGAAGTTATCATGATAATTTTCTTAGACAATTGGGCATGGAAACTTGTTCTCCATTTAGAGCCTATTCAGTTCATTTCTCTCTCACTTCTTTGTTTGAGGAGCACGTTGTCTTCCTGGAGAAATTTAAGGCTATTTATCTAAACACTCTTCTGCTGGCAGCATTTAGATTTCCAGCACATATGCATAAGCACAACGTAGTTTTACTTTGAAAGCTACTGTAATTAAGTGGGCAGTAACATTTTTCATATACATCACAGTTAAGGCAACAGCTTGGCAAGTATTAGCCTGATGGAAAGAGGGAAGGAAAAGAAAATAATATCCTGTGGATATATTAACTATAAAGAAAAATTACAATTTCAAGGTTTATGTACCTGATCGATGGCTCTCAGATGGTCAGCAAAGCAGTTTATTTCAGACAGAAGTAGAGATATGATGGACTTTCTCAACAAGCTGCAACTTCCCAGGGTTACCAGGTGCTGAGAGACACAGTGCTGCTCCTGGAACTAAAGAAGAAATGAGCAAGTTTTTATTTTCCATCAAGTCAAGTCAAAATGTATTGAATGGGTATTTCCTAACACTTAACTATTAAACTAAAGGCTAGGAAGAGTTAAAAAATGTCAACATAATTCTAGTCTGCTCTAAGCTAAGTTTTAAAATAGACAAATTATAGCAAACCAGTACTAAGACTGTATACAGCAGTCAAATTTTGACATGACAGGATGCTAAAATGTAAGTTTTAGTGAACACATCAAAAGATAATATAACAGTTAAGATGACAGAGTACATGCAGAGTAAGTTATGAAGATGTTACTGTAGGAAGACACTTGAGTACTTACACAAAAGACAAAAGATACTAAAAGGTGAAAGCAAAGATTTGAAGGTAAGTTTGGAAAGAGTTGTGGGTTCCAGGTTCCACCGCTACTCGTAAGTAAAGGGACTGCATACTTAGCACAAGTCAAAATCAGGGTGCTTTATAACAGTGAGGGAGAAGTGAAACACTGAATTTTCATGTACAGGTAACAAAAGGAGTCACAATTTAAAAGGATATAGGATGCAATAAACTATACTTCATAAGAAGTAGGAAATGTCATTATCAATCATATTAAGGAAAGTAAAACTCATGGTCAGAATTTCATTTGATCTATCTTTTAGCAAAGCTAGGAAAGGAGGCTTGAAGAAGAACCTCAAAACCAGGTGGTGGTCATATATTTTACCACTGCTGTATATGAGCTGAAAACGATACCAAAGAGATACTACTTCAAGTGATAAATAATGTAGGTGGGACTAGGAAATGCTGCATCTGTCCTTTACATGCAGACATTCCTATGTGCAGTAATCACACTAGTGATTCTAGGGACTGTGGTCACTTTCCTATTAAGGAAATAAGTATCTGAAGCTTGGAACTGTAAGCAGGAGTTGATATTTTAATAGTACACACTAATTTCAAAACTTAAAGATTATCAAAATAGCTACTGATGATCTTCTGATTTTCCACAGGGTCTGTGGTAATTTCACCCTTCTCATTCCTTATTGCTTGAATTTGAGTTTCTTCTTTCCCTTTTTGATGAGGTTTGCTAGGGGCTTATTAATTTTATTTAATCTTTCAAAGAATCAGCTTTTTGATTCGTTGTTTTCTGTCTTGACTGCATTAACTTCTGCCCTAATCTTTATAATTTCTTCCCATCTTTGGGCTTGGGGTTTGGTTTGCTCTCCTTTTTCTAGACATTTGAGGTGCAGCATGAGGGTATTTATTTGTTCCCGTTCTGTTTTCCTAATGTGTGAGTTCACAGCTATAAATTTCCCTCTAAGAACTGCTCTAACAGCAATGGAACACCCATCTCTGACAAAACAAAACAAAAAAGGGGAATATAAATAAAGGACTGTTTTGTAGTGAAAAAATATATACATATGCATATACAAGATAGTTAGGATAGATATACAGCTACTTTCTCTTAGTTCAGTGAGAAGAAAGCTTGGTACTAAGTGTTTAGATATCATGTCTACATCTTGTCCTGTGAATAACTACTATGAAGAAAACAACATGCAATGTATTAATTATTATAAATGTCCTAATAATGTTTTTGTAACTGTTTCATTGCTATTTTATCGTTTTTTCTCATTAAAAATTTAAAAAATTAAGTAAACACAGTAAGAACTGGGATGAGAAAAAGAACAAAAGAAAGAAGAGAAAAGGTATATTTATGAGTCTGCAGGACAGTTTGGATAATTGTACTGTTGATTTCTGCTGGTCTTTTGAAAGGAGCAGTCATTGCTTAACTTTTTTCTTTTCTTTCTTTTTAATTTCTTATATCTTTTTGTTGGTGGTGTTTTGTTTTCTTTTAACCAAATTTGCAGGATATAATCTGGTAACCTAAACAACTAATTTGAAGATAATATCAAGTAATACAGCAGCCATTGTTGAATTTCTATTACTTTAAGGAAAGCTGTATCGTTTCTAATGCTTTTTTTTTTTTTTAACTATTTTGTATACTTTGAAATATATATTTTTTAAAAAACACAGTAAAAATGTGAATGGATTATACGGGGAAATATCCATTGTAAATGGGGAATGAATAATTAGTTGTTGCTGTTTTTTGTGGAACCAGGGATTGAACTCAGGCACTTGCACTTGTCAGGCAAGTGCTTATTCTACTGAGCCTTTTCCTCAGCCTCTAATAATTAGCCCTGAATAGAACCCTAAATCAGCTTCTTGCTAAAACACCAAGTAACTACAACAGAAAATAATATTTATTTGTCAATGTTTCCTAATGTGATTGGTTAGGGTTTAACTCTTCACAACTCGCCAGTACTGCTTATTCTATTTCAGGTTTTGCACTTCCATGCTTGCACTTCAGTGCTCTCCCAGTTCTAAGCTTTTGGACGGTTTCTTACTGATGCTGGAATTGTGTCTTTTACCAGCGTTCCTCAGTAGGTAACTCTTTAGGCAATGCGTTAAAGTGAAGAAAAGTTAACAGACAAAAGACTTGGGAAAGCTGTAGCAGAGTGATGATGGCGGCGGCAGGGTTAGGCTCTCAGCAGGGACTGGCTGATCCAAACCCTAACCCGCTACTTCGGAGGAGCTTGTTTCAGCAACTTAACCGTTTATGTCTTACCTTCCACAGGTGCAAAGCAGCAGAGTTTATTTAGGAGCCTTACTGTAGATATTAGGTGGATAATAAAAATCCTTAACACAATTCAAGTCAGACTTGAATAAGGGAAATGTGACTATAACTTTAGATAGTAATACAGAAGCATCACAGGTTACATGACATGGACTTAATGTCTTTTTTTTTTTTTTTTTTTTTTTTTTTTTTTTTTTTTTCTATTTTGGCAGAACTGGAGATTGAACTCAGGCACTTGCCAGGGAAGTGCTTATTCTACTGAGCCATCTCCCCAGCCCAATTTATTGATTCTTGAAAAGCTAAATACTGTATTTGTCATTTCACATTGCTGGAATAGAACATCTGACGTTTGTGATTTAAAGTACACACTTACTTCAGCTCATGGCTTTCGTGAGCCCCACGACTGCCTGGCTCCAAGGCAGAAATGGCATGGCACATGGCGTGGCAAGAATCCTGCTCACCCATGGTGGCTGGGAAGCCCCGACAAGGGGCAGGGCAGGGAGGGAGCGCACCTGCATCTCATGACCCAGGTTCCCCCTCTTCAGACCAGGCTCCGTCTCTTGGTAGCACATTTTGCCTTGAACTCATCAATGGGTTTGGTCCACTGATAAGTAAAGCACATAATGATCCCATGACCTTCCTAAAGTGCCCATTCCAAGTACACACTATCTTTCTAGATGTAATACAATTCCATTAAAGAATAATGCTGAGAAGAAACTAAACTTCATCATACAGAACTTTTCCAAAGTATAGTTAAGAGCTATTTATTGTGTAGCCAGAATGACTGAGGTTGACAAAGAACAAATACTGTGTAACTTAACCTGGTTTAAAACTGTGTGTATAATGTTATAAAACAGCCTCTGTTCTTCCTTAAATTATTGTAGTTTCTTGCTGTTTGGTAAACACAGTGTAACTCTTAGGGAGGCTGATATGAAGGTAAGGACTAGAAAAACTTTATGCTAGGCTATCAGAGCAGAAACTGTGGATCCATCTCAATCATCTTTATCATGTCTTCCTGTATTTCAGAAGTCGTAAAGAAAAATGCATTGCTTCCCAGATTCTCCTGCAGTTAGGATTGCGGCTCTGGGCTGAGTTCTGCATCTGAAGGTCTCACCTGAGCCCTAGATTTAGAAGTACATTAAAGGAAGAGAAGTCGGCAAAGGCGTATGTTCCGTTGCTGCAGATTGTGGCAAAGAGACAGAGGGAACATCATTCTGGCTCATGCAGCAGCTACTTCAATGATTATCTTAACCTAGAGAGCATAACACATTTTTTTGGTCATGAAGGTCAATAATCATAGGTGTGTCAAATCCTCATTTATTCCTCAGAATATTTCTATTGATGAAAATTTCTCTTCATTTTAATTTTATGCATTTTATTATAATAAACAATAAGTAATAGGAAAAAAATCACAAAAATAAAGTCTTGTATTCCTAATGTTTATTGTTTATAAAAAGCATCAAATTTTCAGCTGGGCTATATCTAGCTGACAAATCAAAAGGAAACATTTTAAAAAACAAGTCCTACAGTGGTGTGGGCATACTACACTCTTGTTTTGCTTATGTAAATGTGTACAAGCCCTCTTACATGGAGCATCCCGGGAGTGCAAATCCTTCTGCACGTGTGTACACACTTTGCCTCCTGTAGTAGAGAGTGAGTAAACACAAAGATTGTGTCCTATGTCCCCCAGAACAGGGACTTAGATGCACAGCCAGGTACTATTACACTAAAGCAAAAATTTACAACAGAAAAGGAAGGAATGTGTTCACAGAACCCAGCCTTATGGTCTTCTCACGGTTTCTCAATCATGGCAGGAGCAGCAGCTACCATGGTATCCCTATGTTTTAGAGGGTTGTTGTTCAAAACCCAGCCTCCTCCAAGGTGCTTTGATCTAACTTCACTTGGTAGAATCAGAGCTCAATATCTTTCAGAGGTGTAATCAAAACTATGGTACAGTGATTGCTGGAAGCCGGGCTCCTAAAAACATCTGGTATCTATGGAACCGAGTGTTTTATGGCTCTTCCCTAACTTCATAATGACCACAGGAAGTAAATATTTTAAATGAATTCACAACACTTGGGAGCCATGATAGTACCAGCAAAGACACTCACAAAACAAAACACAATACCTCACATTTTTTTAAATTGTACCATACATGATCAATGCATAATTATCAAATTGAGTTACAAGTAAAATGCTGGCAAAAACCATTTAGAGAAATAAAAAAAATAAGCAACAAATACAGCACATAACACATGAAGTCAGGGTCATCCAGCAGTTAGTACAGGAAAAATATGAATTACAATTTCACTAAATAACATGATCAGGTCTTATCTGATACACATCTTAAAATTGAGCAAAACAAGTTATTAAAATATTGA